AGGACACCCATGTGTAAATACCGAATAGTTTCTCTAGTGTGAGAAACTGAAAGTGTAAATAAGGATTAAAATGATTAAAACGAATAATTAATAATGTGAAATAGGAAGAAAAGGTCCAGAGGGGTGGGGAAAGGGGGAAAGGAAACATTATGAGAAAAGGAAAAAATGGAAACAAAGTCTTTGTAGATAGGAAGGGATGGAATGGTTGAAGGGAGGGCAGGGGAAGGGGAAAAATAAGAACCAAGATGGATTATGTAAAGGTGCAAATTTCCAAGGATGAATTTCATTATATTGTATACCTTAAATGTACCAATAAAGTTAATTTTAAAAATTAATAAGAGTGGGCCAGGTATTTAGCTCAGTGGTTTTGTCGCCTGCTGCGCAGGCACAAGGACCCAAGTTCAATCCCCAGTGCCAAATAAAATCAATAAGAATTTTAAATTATTAAAAAAAAAGAAAAAGAGTAGCTGTTTGAGGTAATGGGGGAAACGCTAGGTTGTGTTTGTTGAGGACTGACCAGAAGCCAGAGAATAGGGACTCTGAATGCTGGCTACCATTCTGAAACATTTGCCTGGGAAGGAAAGAGGAAAAAAAATGGGGCAATGGCTTGAGAAATAATTTGGGCCGCTAGAAAGGACTTTATTGTGGTGTATTTATTTTAAGTCAGGAAACCTGAACATATTTGTAGGATGAAGGAAAGGAGTCGTTGGTAAAAGGAAACTGACTATATATGAAGTGTCTAGAAAGTGCCCAAAGCAGTTGGAGGGATTGACTTTCGATGTTCTCTCTTCTAAGGCAGGAGGGAAAGTGGCCGCAGATGTTTGGAAGCTAGGTCTGAGGGAAGGGTTGGGGCTTGATAAGCATAGAAAGAAAGAAACATTAAATATAAGGATTGCTGAACATAGTGGCACACGCCTCCAATCCCAGCATTGGAGAGACTGTGGCAGGAGGATCACTGCAAGTTCAAAGCTGCTCTGAAGAAGTTTTTTTTTTTCTTTTTTGGTACCGGGGATTGAACTTGGGACCTTGCGCTTGTGAGGCAGGCGGCGGAACCACTGAGCTAGATCCCTGGTGAGGCCCATCTGAAGTACATACCAATACCCTGTCTCAAAAAAACAAAAAATAAAATAAAATAAATGTGAGGAATTTTTATTTAACCAACAAGCTTTATCAGCTGTCTCCCTTTATAGTGCAGTATGAGTAGCTGCTGTGCATTGTGCTGTAACCATGCCCCAGACACTCTGCAAGCACTTTAGGTTATCTCATTCAGATCTTACAGCCATCCTGTGAAGCAGGCACTTGTGTCTCCATTTTATCGGTGAGGATGTGTTCAAGCTTGCTCACATCTGCACAGCTAGTAAGTGGAGGAGCCAGAATTCAAAGCCAGGTCTACTCAGGCCCTCTGCTCCACTCTGCTAAATGCTATACGCAGTGGTAGTTGGGGGTTAGGATGGTTCAGCTCTCCAGGAGCAGCAGGGATGGTGGCTGCTCTCGTTGGCCCCTTCCTCTCCTTGCCTAGGGTTCTCATTGTGTGCAAGTTTCCTCTTTAGCACTCTTTTGTGGACTGATCTGGACAATCACTTCAATTTTTCACACTTGAGTAGAAAGATCTCCCTTAAGATGAGGGACTTGAACCAGGCCTTGAAGAATGGATGAGATTAGGGCAGGCCCTTGTATTTTATCTTCTTTCTTCTGCTGCCTCATGTATTCTCTTCCTCATTGCTTACCCTTTTTATGATCGTAAGTGATGATGCCTCCACTAGAAGACAAGCAGCCTCTTCCCTCTCCTCCTTGTTGTGGGATAACTGCCTGTTTTCCCCACTGGTCAGTTGGCTGTTCTCTACTAACCACCCCTCTGCATTCTCCCTCCTCCTCCTCCCCGCCTCCCCAGCGTATCTGTGAGGTGTATAGCCGGAACCCCGCCAGCCTGCTGGAAGAGCAGATCGAAGGTGCCCGGCGGCGAGTCACTCAGTTACAGCTGAAGATCCAGCAGGAGACAGGTGGCTTAGTGGTGAGTGATTGCAGGCATAGATCTAGGAAGGGCACCATGCAGTGGTCTCGGCTAGAATGAGGGAGAAGGCCACGGCAGAAGGCTGCCCAAGTCATGGCAGCACCTGAAGCCTGAGGTTGTGTGTAGTACTCTACAAAGAAACAAAGGTCAGTAGTTTTTTACTGAGCATCAAAGAGGCTGAGCGCTGTCGCACACGTGGGATACCACATAAAGGAAAAGCTTATTTCTTGCCCTCAGAACTCATGGTTGCCTTGGAAAGAAGGAAACAGGAAATCAGACTGCCAGCTTTCCCCCCCTAATGAGCCTTCCCTTCTGCATCGTTTGCTCATGGCTGATGTATATTCCTACTCTGGCTTTACTCCAGACTCATCTGGCTTTCCCACCACCTGTCCTTCAAGTAACAGATCTCCTCAAAGAAATCCAAGGATATTTTAAAGTCAGCTGAGCAGGTTCTACAAACTAGTGTTGAAAATTCTAGAAAGGGGATTGTTCTCTATGTGTTCTCAACAGGGACTTTACTATTAGTTTCTGTATTTTTTTTTTTTTCGGAGACAGGGTGTTGCTGTGTAGCCCAGGCTGGCCTGAACTTCCAGCAATCCTCCTGCCTCAGTTTCCCAAGTGCTAGATACTAGCTAGCACTCCTAGTGCAGGTATGCACCACCACACCTGGCTTACTATTAGTTTCTTATCTCCATCCAACCTCAGTAACTCTCCAGAAACTTTAAAATCTCGAAGAACAATAGTTGCCAAAATAAGTAGAAATTATTTAAGGCTTATCTAGTTGAGATTTAAGGGGTTTTTGTTTGTTTATTTGTTTGTACCAGGGTTCAAACTCCGGTCCTTGGGGTTGTGCAGCAGGCAGCAAAACCACTGAGCTAAATCCCCGGCCCTTAAGGCTTTTTTAAGACTACAGTATCCAGATCAGAAAGTCTGGGAAAGAGACAAAGTGTTGGTTTTTCTGAAGGATTTCTCATGTTATATAGTGAACCAGTCTCAGGTTCCAAATCCTAGCTCTAGTTACCATTAGCCTTTTGGACAAATTACTTAATCCCTGGGAGGCTGCATTTCTTTATTTGTACAATGGAGGTTACAGTAGTATCCACCTAGCTGGGCATGGTGGTGTGTGCCTGTAATACTAGCACTCTGGGAGGCTGAAGCACGAAGATTCCAAGTTTGAGCCCAGCCTGAGCAACATAGCAACTTAGGGAGAGCCTGTCTAATGGGGGCAGGAGGGTGTGTGGCCAGGGATGTAGCTCAGTGCAGAGGCCTTGGTTCAGTCCCCCGTACCACACATGCGCGCGCGCGCATGCACACACACACACGCACGCACGCACGCACTGGTGTTCACCTAACAGGGTACCGTCAGAACTAAACCATGCCCCAGCACAGGGGCCAGTGTGTGTTCACTGCTGCTACCATTGCTGGGCTCCATGTGCTCATGAGGTCGTGAATCTGAGGCATGGAGCTTGGAGTCTGGAGATGAGCTCCAGGCCTGACATTAACGTTGTCCATCTGTGTGGCTTGGACAAGTTACTGAGGATCTGAGCTTCCAGTCATTTCCAACATGGAAGTGATCTGCCTCACTCAGAGTTGCTGAAAAATCAAATGCAGTCCAGAAAAGCACTTTGTTAACAGTTAAGTACTGTCAGCATCACATCCTCTGCACTGCCTGGGGCTGTCAGTCCTCCCCAGTGAACTCAGAAGTAAACCTTCTCCTCCCTCAGCTTTTTGTACTCCTTTTTTTTTTTTTGGTACCAGGGATCAATCTCGGGTCCTTGAGCTTGCAAGGCAGGCAGTGGAGCCACTGAGCTAAATCCCCGGCCCACTTTTTATACTCCTTGATAGTTAAGTTCTTTCAGGTATCCAACCCAAGGGAGACAGGTCCAGGGTAACAGTGGAGTGAGAAGTTTGCATTTCACTGAGGGTAAGGCTCTTTCCCACCATTAGGGGTCGCCATCTCTCAAACTGTACTTGAAGAGATCTCTTCTATCTGGGCGTTCCTGAGGCAGTGAAGGAAGCAGAAGTGACCACTGTACAGGCAGATACCCTCTGGAGGAGGGAGACACAGGGGAGAGGCTCACAGAATCTGCCTGCCCTCGGAGCTTTTCTCTTTTTTTTTTTTGGGTACCTGGGATTGAACTCTGGACCTTGCGCTTGCAAGGCAGGCGCCGGAACCACTGAGCTAAATCCCCAGCCCAAAAGGGTTATTGTCTTTTTTTTTTTTGAAATTTTAAGTCTACTTTCGATGTTGGTACTTTTGTTTTTTTGGCACTGGGGATCAAACTCGGGTCCTTGCGCTTGCACAGCAGGGGGCGAAACCACTGAGCTAAATCCCCGGCCTGGGGCTTTTCTCTTTCAGGACATACTTCCCCTCTATGGTGATGCCAGCCAGAAACCATCAGAAGGTGAGTACCCCCCATCATCCCTCTTTTTTCTGGCATATAGCACAGACTCCTTATCTCTTGTCCTCACCCCATGGGGCAGATTCTGGGAAAGAAAATACATAATATCTGCCCTCTTGGAAATAGAGTCACGGGAAGAGGCAACTGAGCATAGTGGAGATGAGCATCTGATCAGGAGCACTGGATGGCTAAGGACCAGGCAGGTCCTGGGATGGCTGTGGTCCTGACAGCAGCTCACCTGAGAGCACCTGGGCCAGCGACTCGGCAGATACTCCTTGTGAAAAGAGATCAGTGGCCAGAAGAGGGCTGGGAGTGAGTTCAGGGGGCAGACCAGTTTGAGACAGGCTGCAGTCTTCCTTCAGGGGGTGATGTGTCCGGTGCACAGGGGCAGAGGTAGGTGAGAGTGCAAGGGAGTTGGACCCAGAGAAGCTCGGGGCCACGAAATGAGAGCCAGGGGAAAACCAGCAAAAGAAAAGACGGTGGCAGCACCCCATTTTGCCCTGGACACAGGTGCCCGGAATAAGGGTTCTTTCCCCCAGCCCGAGCTCCTTCCCTACCTTCTAAACTTCTTTTCAGGCCGCCTCTCTCTGGATTCCCAGGAGGCAGACAGTGGCTTGGACTCCGGAACAGAACGCCTTCCCTCACTCAGTGAGGTGAGTGTCTGGAGGGGTGAGGCCTGTTCAGAACTGTCCCCTGGGCCCCTCCGTGGACACCTGGGCACCCTGGCTGTGGCCTGTCCCCTGTGTGCCTCTTCCTGAGCTCCACTGCAAGGATTTTAGTCACTGTGCTCTGGGCTCCAAAAGAAGGGTTTCGGATAATGCCCTGTATGCCATCTCCTCAAGTCTGGCTCTGTTCCATCACAGCCAACTCCTGGATGGCAAGTAGGGGGGAGAGGGAAGCCAACTGTGTCATTATGATGGCAGGCCTTAGCGAGTAAGGGGGTGCAGCACAGATCAGCAGTCCTACAACCAAACACAGAGTGAACCCACAAGCGATGGCCTTACTTTGCTGTCGATCTGTTTCTACTTGAACGGCTTATCTTTTCTAGAGTGGTCAGAGAATTTTAGGTTTTGACCCCAAAGGTCAAAGGTGTTCTCAGTTTGCATGTATAAGCTGTAAATATGAACTTACGGTCTAAGTGGAAGGGCTGATGATGGTAATAGTAAAATACGCACTTAGCCAGATAATCAAATAGGTGAATAAGTAGTTGAAAATATATGAAAAGCCTAATTATATATTTGGAATTTTATTTCCTCACTGCTTCTGTCTGTCGGTGGGAAGATGATCAGTGTGTGGGAAAGTGAAGAAGGAGAGAGAGTGGTGCAGGGTGGGGAGAGTGTCCTTAAGTAATCTCTGCCGGACATTGGACATTCTGTAGGAAGTGAAGTAGCTGGCAATGGGGAGAATGGGCTGTGGGGTGGAGCTGCCTGACTGAATCCATTCTGAGCTCTCTGACCTTCAGCAGTCCTCACACCTTCCCAAGTCTTAGTGGCTGTGTAGAAAAGTGAGATAAATGATACAATCTATCTCAGAGAGCCAGTGGAGGCATTAAATGAGACACTGTAATCCAGGGTGCGGTATTATGCACATGTGGACCTCATCTGCACCTTAGCTGAACCCCAAGAGTCTCCTGGACCAGGTTCCTTCTCACAGAGTTCTCTGTTCCTCTAGTCATGGGTGAATCGGAACTCAGTACTGTCAGACCCTGGACTGGACAGTCCTCGAACCTCCCCTGTGATCATGGCCAGGGTGGCCCAGCACCATAGGCGGCAGGGCTCAGACATCCCAATCCCCCTGTCCAGTGAACAGGTGAGTGACCGGAGCTGTCCTGCAGCTTTCCTTTCCCTGTTCAGAACTGCAGTTTGGGGGCATTGTTACTGCACTACATGGTCTTGAATAGTCAGACTAAACCCTGCTCTGGCCACTCACAATTTGAGAAAGTCACTTAGAGAACAAACAGTGAAGAAAGACTGTGGTAGAAATAGGAAAGCGAGGCAGTCTCAGTTCCTGTGTGAAGAGTCAGTGGATGCATCTGTAAGGATGTGGCAGCTAAGGAGCAGATAGCTGGTCTTCCTTTTAATGAGTGGATAGAATAGATTTTTTTTCTTTTTTCTTTTTTTTTTGCGATATCGGGGATTGAACTCGGGACCTTGCACTTGCAAGGCAGGTGCGGCGCCACTGAGCTACATCCCCAGCCCAGAATACTGATTTTCAATGTTCTCCTGCTTTAGCAAGAATCTTTTTCTCAAAATCTTACTATTTGTAACTCTACTGTAGAAAACATAAAAATTTAGCATTCCTGGGATCTTCCTGATGAGCCTCCCCTGCCCTCAGGGCCACTGCATGGAGCCCTAGGTTCTGCAGGGTCGGATTTGAAAGCCCCACAGTCAAAGGCAGAGCTGGGTCTAGGGGAGTTTTCAGGAAGATAGATTTGGGCTCAGTATAAAAACTTACAAAGAATCTGGGCTGCCTGGCAGTGGAATGCCCGGCTTGGCAGCCAGGAAATGCCTGTCCTGGTGCAGACAGAAGCCACTACACCTGTTACAGACACTGGGAAACAGTCTTCTAGTTCTGTCAAATGACATTTTTTAAATTACCACCATGATGCATTCTAATCACATTCCAACTGTGTAATGTTACTTAATATTTTTCTTCATCACTTCTCGGCCTTTTGGCTAAGATCAAGTGTAGTATATTTTTCTTCAAGCTTACCTTTTAATTTAAAGGTACTCTATTAAATTAAAGCCAGTATTATCTTGCTATAAATGCAAGATAAATGTAAAGCTAAATATACACTTAGAAGCAATTTTATGTAGTGCTAACTAGAAAGCCTCTACTTATATTTAAAAAAGGAGTTGTCTCCTTCCTGAGGTGTCTCTGAATAAACACATGAGAATGTAACCGTGTGGCCTCTGAGAGACTGATGGGTTGAGGATAGATGTTGGATGGAAGCTTCTCGTTATATTCACCCTTTTGTATCCTTCCAATTCTAGACTATGTTAATGCATCACCTACTTTAAAAATAGATTAAATTGGGCCGGGGATTTAGCTCAGTGGTTTCAATGCCTGCTACGCAAGCTCAAGGACCTGAGTTCGATCCCTGGTACCAAAAATAAATAAAATAAAATAAAAAATAAAAATAGATTAAATTTGAAACAAGCTGGAAAATAAACTCTAGTTGGACTCAATCTTTTGCTTGTCATCAACTTTAGTTAAGCCCAAGGCCAATTCTGCCTTTGTGAAAGGTAGTAAAGATAGGCTAGCAGCAGGCTAAAATCTTCTCTGGGTTAATCAAAAGGATTAATGAATTGAAGAGACACTGACTATCTTACAATATGATTCAGTGCTGTATGATACCTCATCCAGGTACCACCTAAAATTACTTTGAGCCTCGCCTAAATTATGAGTTCCACCAGTGGTGCACTTCCTATGCTGGAAGACATTGTTATAAGAAAATATACAGGTGGTTTTTGCAAATTGTGAGTTGCCACCTTTTGGTGAATCATGAAATCAATACTGGAGGTCAAGAACAGTGTTTATTTTAATGAAGTGGCGTCTAATACCTTGGAAAAGAAAATGTTTGTACACTGGGTATAATAAAAGTAAGTGCAGTTGAGAAAGTCCTTGTCTACACCTATTTTGTCTTCCACAGATTGTTTCTGTTTCAGTATTTAGATCTTTGATCTATTTTGATCTTAGTTTAGTGCATGGTGAGAGATATGGGTCTAGGTTCAGAATTCCGCATATGGAGAGCCAGATTTCCCAGCACCAGTTGTTAAAGAGGCTGTCTTTCCTCCAGTGAAAGATTTTTGGCCCCCTTGTCAAAGATTAGGTAGCTGGGCTTGCCTGGAGTTGTTTCTACATCCCTCTATTCTGTTCCATTAACACACAAGGGGTTGTTTGTTTGTTTGCCAATACCATGTTTTTTAAATCACTGTAGCTTTGTAGTGTGACTTTGAAGTCCAGGATTGTGGTGCCTCCTACCTTGCTCTTGTTGCCTAGTATTGCTTTTGCTATCTTAGGTTTCTTCTAGTTCCATATGAATTTTAGAGGTGTTTTCTCTGGTTCTGGAGGAATGCTAGTGGTATTTTGATTGGGATTGCATTAAAACTATGTAGCCTAAGCTGACTTTGAACTCACGGCAATCCTCCTGCCTCAGCCTCCCGAGTGCTGGGATTACAAGCATGCATGCCCACCTTTATGTTTGATTTTTTTTTTTGGTACCGGGGATCGAACTTGGGTCCTTGAGCTTGCGAGGCAGGCAGCAGAACCACTGAGCTAAATCCCGGCCCCTATGTTTGATTTTTAAGTAAAGTGGATAGTCTACTTTTGTAATCAGAAAAAAAAATATGTATTTGTGAAGACTTTAAAAATCATCCCCCTATACAAGGAAATACCTAGGGGTTTTGGGGGGTTTTTTTGGTTTTTTGGGTGCTTTTCACTAGAAAACAAGCTAGAGCCAGAAGTACTCATTCAGCAACTCCTGGGGATCCTGGACCCCAAGGGTTCAGGGCCTGGGTATGTCTGAGAAGCCTGAGGACAGCACACCAGCCCTGGCTGCAGCTCAGAGCACAGCAGTTGCTGTCCCTGTGCCTCCCTTTTCTCCATTATAACTGAGTGTGAGACTCTCATCTCTGCCATATTTTCTGGGTCTTCCATGTTGTGTGATACAGTCATTCAGGCTGTGAGTTCCTAACTATCCAGGAGAACAGAAAGGAGTGAGGAGCATCAGAGAGGCGCTGTCAGGGAGAGCAGCACAAGAATGCAGATGAGGAGGGCAGCACAGACCTCCATGAAGGCAGGCGTGAGTAAACTAGCTGAGCTCCAGACGCAGAGCCCTTGTTGTGGAGCCACTGGAAATGAGAGAGATTAAATCTAGGGGAAACATAGTTGGTAAAAAAGATTTGAATCTTTAAGAAAAACCTCAAGGAACTTATAGAAGAAATGGTCCCATGAAGTATCTGAAAAGTACATGAATTGTGAACTCTCTTTTAATACATTCACGACAGGGCTGTAATTTGCATGTCTCGTTGCCACACGACTTAAACCATCGGGGGTACATGTGTGACTGTCCCGTGCATGACTGCACCACCACCAGCTGTACAAGCTACCCACTGGGACAGTTGTGTATGTACCACTGGTGGTTCAAGCTGGCAGGTACGTGTTAAGTGATCAGTGGCATGTCAGTTAGAATTAAGTTTTTATTGCCAGGGATTTAGCTCAGTGGTGCCGCTGCCTGCCTCGCAAGTGCAAGGTCCTGAGTTCGATCCCCGGGACCGCAAAAAAAAAAAAAAAAAGAATTAAGTTTTTATTTGTTTGTTTGTTTTGTTTTTGGTACCAGGGATTGAACTCAGGACCTTGTGGTTTCGAGACAGGTGGCAGCACCACTGAGCTAAACCCCCTGCCCTTAAGTTTTTATTAAAATTGACAGAAGGGGAAAAGTAAGGAAAGCCAGGCTAAGGAGTTTGGATTTTAACAGTTAATAGGGATCTACCATAGATTCTTGAGTAGACAATGGAAGTAATGCAAGTGGTGTTTGAGAAAGATCAGCCCTATTCCCTTTTGTTCAGGAAGAGACAGATCTGCTCCTAGACTCTCTGAGCCATTGGTACCTGCTAGGCACACAACTGAGCAGGGGCACCTCGGTAGGCACCAGATTTGGGAGGTGTGGTTTAGCCAAGCTCCATCCCAGCAGTCCGGGAGGCGCTGTAGGCTTTTATTTTGTTGGCTGACACTCCCTCCCCAGATCTTTTGCAAACAGGAAGAGAGCACTTTCTCCTACTTCCCATCTTGCTATGTCATGTGACCGGGCTGCTCTAGTCTGCTGTGCTTACCAGAAGCAGTTGGCGTTCTGCAAGTGGAATCCCTGCATCTGTGCTCTGAGTTGGAGGGTAGCAGTGAGGTGCCAGAATTTACCAGACCCCGTGGCTTTCTTTGTGAGTGTGATGCTGTTACTAAGCAGACCAGAACTACTCATCCTGAAGAGGTGGAATCCCTGTCCTCAGTAACCTTTCATCTCTACAGCTTGACTCTCTTCCCCAGGGTGTAGATCCAAGCCCAAAGCCTTTGATTATTGGCCCAGAGGAAGATTATGACCCGGGTTATTTCAACAACGAGGTAATCGTTTCCCAGTTTTCTCCTTTCATCACTCTCCTGTCATATACACCACTCTTGCCTAGAAGCAGCCTGACTGGCACAGCTGTGAGGGGAGTATGGGCAGCACCTGCGAGGAGGGGGCATGGGAGCAGAGCCAGAGCAGGCTGTGCTGCTGTCCCCTGCCTCAGTGCCCCGGTCACTCTCACCCTCTGCCTTCCAGAGCGATGTCATCTTCCAGGATCTTGAAAAACTGAAGTCCCGTCCAGCTCACCTGGCAGTTTTCCTACGTTACATCTTCTCTCAGGCAGACCCCAGTCCACTGGTAAGTCAGCAGCATCAGTCTTGTTTGAGAGCCGCTTGTTCTTAGCAGAGCGAATCTCTGGGCCCTGTCCCTGATCGCCAGATATCTGGCATCAGTCATATCCATGGGCATCGGCAAGCATCTAAGGACAGAGATGAAATAGAAAGCAGAGAGGGCCAGGGATTTAGCTCAGTGGTTCCGGTGACTGCCTCGCAAGCGCAAGGTCCCGAGTTAGATCCCTGGTACCAACAAAAAAAAAAAAAGAAAGCAGAGGAATGCTACCAGAAGTTAACTACATCAGTAGTTTAGGAAGTACGTGGACCCTCTAGTTATGGCCGGCCTGACATACAAGCAACTTGGGTTATGATCAGAATTTTAGTTTTAACTTAACGACCAAAGTCTTGAGTTTGCCAGATGTGGGCCACGTGTGCTTCCAGATGGCCTCAGGTACAGATTTAACCCTTAAAGAGTTCTAGAAGGAATGTTACAACAGCCTTTCCTGTGGGAGGGGGGATAGCTGAGAAATCCTGGGCCAGTGTCTCTGAGGACACTCAGATCTGCCTGTATACAGGAGAGAGACTTTAAAAACTGTATAGAGGATGGGCCAGGGATTTAGCTCAGTGGTTTCACTACCTGCTGCACAAGTGCAAGGACCCAAGTTCAATCCCTGGTACCAAAAAAAAAAAGTCTCTATAGAGGAGCCTGAGCCGTCAGTTGACCAACTTGAGTTACAACCAGCTCTTGGGAATGAATTGAGTTTGTAAGTCAAGGGTCCACTGAAGTGTCAAGATGCCAGGTATTGTGATGCATGCCTGTAATCCCAGCACTTGGGAGGCTGAGGCAGGAGAATCACCATGAGTTCAAGGTCAGCCAGGACTACATAGTGAGTTTAAGGCCAGCCTGAACTACACAGTGAGACCCTGTCTCAAAAAAAGTACTGGCAGTGGGCTGGGGATTTAGCTCAGTGGTGCCACCGCCTGCCTCACAAGCGCAAGGTCCTGAGTTCAATCCCTGGTACCAAAAAAAAAAGTAGCGGCAAGAGCTAGGCTAGGAACACTGTCATTCTTGATCAGTTTAGGAAGCCTTGTTGGGGAGAATAATCTGAGTTTTTTTAATAAGTAGTAAAGGTGGATACAGATGAGGGGGAGTTGAGAGAATGGCCCTTGCAAATAGCAGTAGTACTGCAAGAAAGCTGGCAGAAGGCTTTCCAATCTTCAGGTGATGGCAAGAAGCATGGGGTGTGGAGCCCACGGATCCCTGGGGTGGTACTCAGAGCCAGCAGCCTTGCAGTTTCTCTCCTGCTCAGCTGCTTAGAGGAAAGTGGATTGAGGAGAGTGTTGATGCTGTGTTCCCCATCAGCCTCTTGCCGGGGCATGGACAGCTGCCTTGTCTTTCTGGGGATGCGATGATTATGGAGGTCAGAATAAACATCCATTCGCTCAGTGTGGATTCACTGAACACCCACGTGTGGGTCCTGAGTCCTGGTGTCTCAGACGCATTTCTGAAAAAGACAGGGGACATCACGAAGAAAATTACAGTATGAGCCCTTCTAGAACAGTGTATAAACAGTACAAGACACAAGTATGGCAAGCATGAAGGGTGCAGTGTGGGGGAGCGATTGACCCTCAGGGCTGCAAGTGGGAAAGGGTGGCCATTACCTCACTGCGGGTTTCTGGAATGTTCTCACTGGGTTTCTTAGCCTCAGCACTGCTCTTTGGGACTTGACAGTACCTTGTTGTAGTATCCTGTCTTGTTCACTTTGAGATATTGAGCCACATGCCTGGACCCTGCCCATTAAATACCAGGAGCACCCACTTGCCAGAGCTGTAACAACTAAAAACCTCTCCAGACATTACCAGGCGTCTCTGGGGGTAAGTCACCCCTGGCTAGTACTGCTGCGCTAACCCAGTTCCTCTCTCCTCCTAGCTTTTTTACTTGTGTGTAGACGTTTATCAGCAGACAAACCCCAAGGATTCCCGGAGCTTGGGAAAGGACATCTGGAGTATTTTCCTAGAAAAAAATGCGGTAAGGCAGTTGTGGATTGGATTATAATTTTATTATACTATTTGGACCACTCGGACAGAGGAAAAACTAAGCAAAGCATTCAGGCCAAATGGAAACAAGTTTTTAAAGAGACGTCTAGGTTGAGAGATTGAGATTTCTGGATCCTGTTCCTGCCTCTCCTCGAAAAACTGACCACCTCTCTATATATCTTTTGTTCTACATAGAGAATACATACATTTCCTCTCCCCAGAATGCTTAGAGAAAGAGAGATTGCACTAAATTCTAGTTACTCCCCAGCCCTGGCTCCCTTGCCCTTCCCTGGATAAAGAAGCAGAGATGGTCTAATCAGTAGAGCAAGGCACACCTGGGTTTCGGAGGCTAACTCGCTCTCGCTGCCCAAAGGCAGGAATCGGGGAGCCTGTAGGTGTGGGACAGAGGAGCCTGCTGTCATCCGGACTTGGCTCCAGGATATGTGGGGCTGTACTTACTGGCAGAGGCTGCTACCTGCAGAGGTCAGTTCCATCCTGACTTTCTAATCCAATTGGCTAAACTCGTTCCAAAATGACTATTCTTCCAGCAGTAAGCTGCTTGGGCTAATAAGGTTAGAAAAACTGATCTTCAATATTTTTATATTCATTCCCATAAGTGGCTCTCAGTAAGGAGGTCACAGCTACCAGTGTGCTCTTTGGTTGTTGTGGAGCCACTCAGGTATCCAGGTGTCAGAAACTCATGCGGCAGAAGCCAGAACTCTGTGTCGATTATGAAGCTAGGCCATATAAGGGCAGTTTTCCCTTTGGAGTGATGAGGAGGAGCCTGTCAAATAGCCTAGCGAGCACTCACTTCCTCCTGCTGAATTACCTCCAGCCCACTTTTTGGAGCAACATGCCCTTCCCGTGCGCCCCAAGGTCTCCTGAGGATGGAGTCCCAGCTCGCCCTGCAGCCTCAGGCTCCTTTCCCAAACCTTGGCCTGCAGTTGAGGGGACAGTCAGAGAGAAGAGAGGAGGAGAGTGGATACAGGCGAAAAAGAAGCCTTGTCCTAGGTTCATCCACACAACACAAACGGAAAACAGACAAACAAAAGGAGAGCAGGTAGCCTTGTCAAGCCCGTGTGTCCCCTGGTGCACGGAACCTCACTGTCTCATTCTTGTGTTTTGCAGCCTCTCAGAGTGAAGGTCCCTGAGATGTTACAGGCTGAAATCGGTAAGTCGCTCAGCTCATCTGTCCTGAGCTGTCAGAGGCTGCAGAGGGCAGAGGAGATGTAACCTCTCTTCCTGGGCAGCTGTCCTCTAATGGGGAGAACAGTCCACAGTCCAGTTCTCCAAGTGCTTCACAGGAGTTTTATGGGGCAGGCACAAATGGGACAGACCCTACCCGAGGTCACTCTGCCTCTGCTTGCTGGAGCTCATCATGGGCAAGGCCTGGACCTGGATTTAGGACACCTGTGCCCTTTCTGGGCCTCAGTGGGCTCTGTACAAAGAGGAAGTGAACAAAAAAAGGGCTGAGTGGTGGTGCACACCTGTAATCCCAGCACTTGGGAGGCTGAGGCAGGAGGATCACTCTTGAGTTTGAGGTCAGCCTGCGCTACCTAGTGAGTTCAGGCCCAAACTGAACTATATAGCAAGACCCTGTATCAAAAAACCAAACAAATAAGAGGAAGTGGACTCAGTCAGGGATTCCCAAGCCAGGTCAATCATTAGAATCCCTAGGGAACTCTTAAAAGTACAGAGACCAGGGCCTTGCTCTGTTCCGCCTGCAAAGTCAGAATCTCTGGAGCATTTGGGGGGGGGGGTTGTTTGTGTTTTGGTTTTGGTTTTGATTTGGGGAGGTTTGGTTTTTTGTTGTTTGTTTTCCTAGTTCACTAATGAACACTGACAGCAACTGGTCCAGAGGGAGGCCCAGCAGACTGGATGAATACATAGCTCTTTCTAATTCCAGAAGAATTGATGGGAGCCACCCCAAAGGGGATGGCAGCCTTCAAAGCAAGCAGCTTTTTAGAGGCTAGAAGTTGCAAGCTGTGTTTGGAAAGAGGCGATTTGTGGCACAGATGACAGGGAGGAGAGTGTATGGCCCAGAAACAGAGTGAGCAGCCGCTCACAGGGACTTATTCTCACTGGGTGGAGCCGGCACAGGCTCAGGACGGGAGGGGCCTCTCAGTTCCATGCAGTGTGAAACGCTTGTCTATTTAGTCCTGTGCTGTCCCTGGGTCAGTGGCAGGGAATGAGCCCCTGAGATGCACACTGATGGCAGAGGATAGCATTTGTCACATTCAACCAGGGGGCATTGATATTTCTCCTAACAGTGGAGAACACTCAGAAAATGTTTGCATCCTGACTTGGGCCTTGGACATCGGAAGTCTAGTCCTGAGTTCAGAAACAACCCGATTGGAGTCCAGGCCCCCATTTCCTTTAGGGTGATGGGGCAGAAAGCCCGCCTCTCCTCCCAGGATCACAGGGAGCTGAAACCCCTGAGATGCTCTGCAGAGGCAACCCCCGCCCCCCCTCACCCCTTTTTCTACCTCCCTGGGCTCCCTCTACAGACCTGCGCTTACGGAACAGCGAGGACGCCCGCAGCATTCTCTGTGAGGCTCAGGAGGCAGCCGTGCCGCAGATCCAGGAACAGATTCATGACTACAGGTTTGCCCCGCTCCCACCCCGTCCTCTTGGTGCCTCTCGTGTGTGTGTGTGTGTGTGTGTGTGTGTGTGTGTGTGTGTGTGTGTTTGTGTAGTGGTCATACATTGTCCTGCTATGTGTCATTGGTGTAGAACAAAGCGCACTCTAGGGCTGGGCAGCCTCTACGGTGAGAATGACCTGCTGGATCTGGATGGGGATCCCCAGCGGGAACGCCAAGTGGCTGAGAAGCAGCTGGCCGCCCTTGGAGATATCTTGTGAGTCTGAGTTCCACTCCCAACCCCTGAACATTGCTGGACAGGTAGACAGATCTTGCAGGTCTGTTTTCGGCCCCTTTCTTGCTTCCATCTCTAAGAGAAAGGGAGCCAAGCCCTGCTGCATTTCCCAGGCTAAGGGCCACTGTTGAAGGGGTTGCAGGGCCCCGAGCGCCTGACAGTCATTTGATGGTTATGACAAGCTGTGGCTCCCTTGGCACCGTGACCCTCCTGCTTCCCCTCTAGCCTTCTTGACCTTCCTCCCTCCCACCTCTGAGATTGTGTCTAAGGCTGAGAGAGACCTGTACTCCCAGGCTCCAGGGGATCAGGCTCCTTTTGGGAGGCAGCTAGCACTGGCTGAAGAGACGATCTAGACTAACCCTCCGGGGTGCTGGCAGAGCTGCCTTTGCTACACCCTCCAGGCCCATTTTCTGAAGTGTCACGGGCACCTGTGATTCAAGTCCCAGCACAGACTTGCCTAGGATTTTGCAGGCCTAAAAGCAGTTTTTCACCCCAGTATGCTTCTTACTGCATAGTTACATGACCTTGGTCAACCCTATCCATCTCTCTCTGGTCCTGATCTACAAAGTGGCAGCTGTATCAGTGATGGCAAACCTATGGCACGCATGCCAAAGTGAGCTGTTTGTATCATTGAACGCTCTAAAAGGTTCACCATCACTGACCTAGGTGATCATGACAGTCGCAGCTGTGGCCTGGCAGATGTCAGTGGCATTCCCACTGCATTCCAAACACTTCTGCACGGACATTCCTGAGGGTGCCAGTGAGCAAAGCAGTTCTTTCCCTTGTGGAGACAACTGTGTGGTATGTTATAAATAATAAGGATGTGCCCACTCAAGGAGTGGGAGCTGTGGGAGAGCTGTGGGAGGCAAGGTGGGCACAGCAGGGGAGCTTGGCTGAGTCAGCTGAGGTGGACGATTGCATGGGGCAGCTTTGTGGTGGGAAATAGGGCTCAGGTATGGGTGTGACAAATTTGGGGTTTCTGCAGGCCATCAAACTGGAAATTTGCAGCAGCTGCTGCATATGTGAATCTGCCATCTGATAAGAAACCACACTGAGTGCATAGGTTTTGAGAACTCACCCCTCTGACCTTCAGCCAGGCCCTGAGTCTTTCCGAGCCTTAGTTTCCCTGAGTGGTCAGATAGTGTTTATCACCCCAGCCACTCCAGGAGTGGAGCCAGATCTGACAGCCTGCTTTGAGACCAGGCAGCAGAAGGCATGACCATGGGGGCACATACCATGCTTATATGGTTTCCATTCAAAGCAGTGAGGTTTTGGCCTCACTAAGTGGGGACAGAATACCTTCTTGTGGCTATTTTGAGGTGGCTAATGCATGTAAACAGCTTAGAAGAACGCCTGTCCTGTAGTAACACCTGTTAGTGGCTCTTTCCCTTTGCCTCTTTCAGATAAGTTCCTTTGGCCAAGGTTCTCACCTTCTTTCCCCAGCCTCCGGGTCAGCACAGCCCTTCTTTTTTTTTTGTTACTGGGGATTGAACTCCAGTCCTTGCACTTGCGCAGCAGGCACCGAAACCACTGAGCTAAATCCCCGGCCAGCACAGCCCTTCAAACTCAGTCTTAGGAGGACGCAGAAAGGAGCCTTTTCTTGCATAAAAGCTTCTCACGCTGAAACAGCAAGCACATTCCCCACATCTCCCCCCGCATTAGCGAGAAAGGTGTCCTCCTCATTACCCTCACTCTGCTAGCCCAGCTCCTCGAGGGAGTAAGAACTCACCTTGTGAGCCCCACACTGGCTCCAGAGCTGTGAGCAGGAGTCTGAGCCCGACCTTCTGTTAACGCTCCTCCCACCCCACCAACCTTCCTCCCAGCCTCTCCCCAGACAACCGGCCCGTCTTGCACACTGAGTCATCTGTTCTTTCTTTTGTTTCAGGTCCAAGTATGAGGAAGATAGGAGGTGAGTGAGTTCATGGTGGAAGGAGGGGGTCTGAATTTCTGTGCTTTCCATTTCCACCCCCACAAGGGAGTCCCTAGTGTTGTAGGGCCGTGGGCCGTGCACAGGTAGTACCCGGGTGACACGGCAAAAGAACACACAGGGCTGTAAGATGCAGGCCCCTGGTGCTCAGCTGCCCCTGGGGACGTTGGTCTGCTCCTCACTGTGAAGGCACCAGGCTGCCCTCATGGCTGACACCCCGGGCCCGCTTCCACTTCTCTACCCAAGGGAGCCCTGAGCCTCCCTTCCCACTTCTTGGTCTAAGCCATTTCCAGAAGTGATGGTGATGGTCGGCGTCAGCCTGTGTTGGCAGCACTTGCACGGGGGAGCTGGGTATAATGCGTTTTCTCTTGGCACATACTTTTTTTTTGCATTCTATATACTTAACCTCATTTTCTCTCATTAGCTGGTGTTAAAATGAGTCTCCACTCTCTCAGCACACACACTTAAACAGAGAGAAGATGGGGTTACTTCTGTTTAAGAGAGCAGTAAAGAGGCCTGAAGCTTTGCTGCATTCACTCCACAAAGTGAAAAATCTGCCTGTGGAACTGTAGGCCAGATACATTTTTCTGCCAGGGCTTTTATTTTGTACAGGGGATTGAACTTGGGTCCTTGCGCGTGTGACGCAGGCAGCGGCACCACTGAGCTAAATGCCACCCTGCCAGGGCTCTGGACAGTATCATCTGTGGCAACTGGACGCTCTTTGACAGTTCCTGCTGTCTTCTCCCTATTCCTCGAGATGGGAGGGCAGTGACAGCATTATGGCTTGGCAGAGGCGGGTTGGCAGCTCTCCTTTCCCCTGCTAACCCACTGTCTGTATGCCTGAGGAGGTTAGCTGCAGGCCTCAACCAGTCCTGCGTCTGCCAGGGCTTCACCAGCTAGTCATTGCTGACATTTTAGGGAGCTGATGACCGTCATCCTCTCATTGAGGAGAGTTCTGTGTGGAGAAGATTTCTTGCAGGAGTTGTACCAGCCAAAACTTTGGGCTAGTATCTGCTTGCTCTCCCATTTGCTAATTCCAGACTTCCCTCTGAATGCCTTGGCCCATAACTATCTGCTCACCCTGTTCCCAGGTGGCTGCGAGGGGACTGTTTGGAGCAGCATTTGGCCCTTCTCCCCAGTGGTGGAGAACACAGCAGTCTTTCTGGTTAAGGTGCTGTTCTCTCTTGCAGTGTGCCCATGAGCTTTGCCCTCAACACGTACGTGAGCCATACGGGAATCCGTCTTCGGGAGTCGCGACCCTCCAGCACAGCTGAAAAGGCCCAGTCTGCCCCTGACAAGGACAAGTGGCTGCCCTTCTTCCCTAAAGCCAAGAAGGTGACAGCTACCCTGATGCATAACTTCTTCTCTCAGAGCAGCTCTCTGCACGGAAGTAGACCAGGAGAGCCGTTTTGTAGCTCTCTAGCCACCTCCCTCCAGCTTGGGATGTGGGGTCCGGCAGAACCCCAGAGTAGAGTGGTCTTCTGCAGCCCCTAAGCTGGCCAGAGGTGAACACGCTCATTCAGGCTCAGGCGAAAGTCCACTTTCCAGCCACTTGTTCAGGGCCAGTCTGGGGCAGGGGTAGAGTGATGAGCAGCTGTGTCTGGGAAACCAGGCCCCCTCCAAACGCCCATGTCTCCTGTCTCAGCAGAGCAGCAATTCCAAGAAAGAAAAGGATGTCTTGGAGGACAAGAAGCGAAACCCCATCCTCAAATACATTGGGAAGCCCAAAAGCTCCTCTCAGAGCAGTAAGTATTTGGGAAGCAGCAGCCTCAGGCTCACCTTGGCCAGAGACCCCAGCCCCAGGTCTTGGAAAGGGAGCTCAGAGCCCACTGCAGCCACTGGGCAGCCATGACGTGGAAGATGTTTTCATCTGGGCAGAGGCGGTCTGGCCGTGTGCACTGCCTCTCCCTTCACCTGTGGGATTCACCTGTACTCCTGAGTTTTAGGAACAATTATGGGCCTTTCCTTGGGAATTTTGTCTATTAAGTAGAACTAGGTGAGTAGCTGGGCATGGTGGTGCATGCCTGTAATCCCAGCACTCGGGAGGCTGAGGCAGGAGGATCACGACAAGTTTGAGGCCAGCATGGGCTCCATAGTGAGTTCAAGGCCAGCCTGAACTACATAGTGAGACCCTGTCTCAAAAAAAAAAAAAAAAAGAACTAGGGTCCCAGAGGTTTCTTTGAGCCACCAGAAACCCAAACCTCAGTGGACCCTGTCACTGGCTCTTCCCAGCTGTGTGCCCTGTGTCTGGGCATTGGTCGGTGCTGGCCCTCGCTGTCAGTGTCTTAGGTCTCGAGCACTGGGGAGTCTGTAGGGCACAGTAGAGCGGGCCTGGTGCCCTTTCTGAAGTGGCTGCATTAGGGGAGGGGGAGGAAGGGACTCTTTAGATTCTCCTTGAGTTTTGCCACTACCTTTTTGTTTTCCAGCTTGATGTAATTTTTATTTTGGCTCTTGAAGCATCAGTTTGACATTTCATGGTTTACTTTTGTTTTTCTTTGTTTTTCTTTTAGCATTTCATATTCCCTTGTCCCCTGTGGAAGGTAAAAGGACTATTTTATTCGGGTGTATCTGCATTAGCATCAAGTTTCCATCTCCATGTCTCATCATGCCCTTTCCGTCTCCTCTCCATTCTGCCCCCTTTCTTCCCTCCCTTTCTTCTCTCCGTGTCTCTTGTGTGTCCCTCCTTGTTGCTGTGGCTGCCCTGTGACACAGACCCCGAGCTCCTGCCCAGGTGCTGGCGGGAGGCCTTGTCTGCTGACCTGGGCTCTGGTGGGTGGAGCTTCCTATGGTTCTGGCAGAGACCAGCCTTCGAGGTCCTTCACGGTTTTCCCCGGGAGAAGCTGGGGCCTTTTTCCAGCTCTGCCACCTTTCCACGGATGAGCTTTCGAAAGTCGGGGCTCTGCATAAGTGAGGGAAACCCTCAAAGCCATGGTGTGCTGTGGTGAAGCAGAAGCAGGAGTGCCTCAGATTTTTATTGTCAACTGAAATAATAAAAGTCCTTGTTTTTTGAAGAGTTTGGGTTATTTTGGGATTTGGTAGGTTTTGTTTGGTTTGGGTTTTTTTTAGTAAATTTTGAGTCTCTCAGTTTTTCTTATATTTGTATGATCTACTTTGCTTAAACTCTTCAGTGTAGTGTAGTACATCATCTCTTTGGCTCTTCTTTTTTGGAGGGTTTGGTTTTTTCTGTTTGTTTTGTTTTTTTGAGACAGGGTCTCACTCTGTAATTCAGGCTGGCTTTCAAATCACCATGTACCCCAGACTGGCCTCAATTCTCAGTAATCCTCCTGCTTCAGCCTCCCAAGTGCTGGCATTACAGCGTGCGCCACCACACCCTGCTCTTGTGGCTCTTAACTGCCAGCACTGTGGAATGAAAGCAGCTGAAACCGAACAACCCTAACTATTTTAGAAGGCCTGACGTCATCTAGAATCTGTATACTAAAGAAAAATACCTGATGACAGGGCCAAGGATGCGTGTAGCTCAGTGGTAGAGCCCATCCCAAGCGTATGTAGGCCCTGACTTCTCTCTCCCCACCATCAGAACAAATAGTAATAGCACAGATAATCGAATGCACTAACCCACAAGGAGCTTAGAACCTGCATGAAAATGACACAGAATTGGACGAGTTCGTTCCTGTTAGTGAGGTCCATCTGTATGCAATTCAGTAATGGTTTTTAGGTTCTGTAGTAATTAGAACAGTCAGGAAACTGTTCTGTCGCTAGGGTTCATTGTGTTAGAGTCGCTGTTTGCACAGTTAGTGAGTATGGTATGTCCCTACACTCCTTACGCTCTCCCTTGCCAACTTTTTTCCCTAGTACTAGGAATCGAACTCAGGACCTTGCGCTTGCCAGGCAGGCATGGCACCACTGAGCTACATCCCCAGCCCCCATTACCATCTTTTGTTTGTTTGTTTTGGGTTTTTTTGGTACCGGGGATCAAACTCGGGACCTTGTGCTTGCACAGCAGGCACCGGAACCACTGAGATAAATCCCCAGCCCCTGTTTTGTTTTTTGTAGTCCTAGGGATTGAGCCTAGTAGGTACTGAGCTATATCCCCAGGCCTTTTTACTTTTTGTGGGTTTTTTTTTAGTTTGGGGATTTTGTTTTGTTTTGCTTTCAAAGTATGACTTTACTAAACTGCCCAAGCTGGGCTTGAAATTTGTAATCCACTTGCTTCAGCTTCCCACAGTGCTGGGATTGCTGGTGTGCACCACCCTACCTAGCCCTTTCCACTTTTGTTTTTTATTTTGAGACAGTCTTTCGAAGTTGCCCAAGCTGACCTCAAACTTGCAAGCCTCCTGCCATAAAACAACAAAAATAATTACTTAAAAGTAATTGTTTTAACCAGGTTTGGTGGCATACGGATATAATTCCAGTTACTTAGGAGGCTGAGGCAGTATTGAAAGTTCACCAGACTAGGTGACATAGCAGGAACCCTGTCTCAAAACAGAAACTTAAGTGTTGGGAGTGTAGCTGAGTGTGAGGCCCCTCGGCTCAGTTTCCAGTATCACAGCAATAACAACAGCAAAATCGTCCTATAAAACAGTAGGAAAAAAACATAGCCTTGGAGTCCAGGCCCGTATTTCCAACCCAGGGTCTGGAGAATGCTAAGCAAACATTCTGCCACTTAGCTGTCCCCCAGCCCCAGGCCCAGGGTCAACAGGAACTTCTCACCAGCCCTGCCAAGGAGGGCCTGAGACAACAGCAAGCCATAGAAGCCAAGCAGATCCACCAGGAGCTTGCTTTGTGTCCACTTTTGTGAGGGAACAGGAATGCTCAGAGTAGAATTAGGTTGCCGACCCCAGGGTCAGGATAAGGATACCAAGTGTCTTTGAGACCAACCAACCATGTCACCCGATTGCATGATTTGATTTAAGATTCCAGAATCCCAGGGCATCAAATAAATACCTATCGTATCTGGAGATCAGACACATATCAATGCTAGAAAAAGCCTCAGTATGGAAAGTGCTTCAACTTTGAGGATCACTTATCACCTCTGCTCGTCTGATAGGCTAGCAACATAATTAATTCGCTTTTATTTAGTTTATTATCGTTCAGGGACTGGAGGAAAGGGAGCAGAAGCTACTAGTGAAACTTTGCCCCTTTAAAAATGTCTCTCCTGCTTCCCCTTGTTACTCTAGGTCCCTCAGTCATACCAATGTCATGGCCATTGCGTAACTCTGTCCAGAACACAGTTGGCCTGTGGGAGAGGGAGCAGTGACTCACCCTGGTGACATTCAGTTGAAGGGTGCCCCGGCTTCCCACATCACCCCAGCCAGGGTGACTCTGGGCCGCCTTGGCATCTGCAGTGGCCCTGTAGCCAGATGCACATTGAGTCTGGGACCAGTATGTCTAGTCCTGACCTTCAAACGGTGGGCCAGTCCCTGTCCCTCAGGGATACACACAGCCACTCAATATGGTTGGGAAAAGTGCGGGTTATAAACTCAGAGGATAGCAGCCAAATGGTTTTTGTTCTCTGTGATTTAGAAATGTCCCTATGAAAATCAGATTTTGAGACAGGAAAGTGCAAGTCTGTATGTGTAGGTATCAGACTCTGAAGAGGGTTAGTGTGGTTACAGTCAGGCCTGAACCCCTAGAGTGCTTATACCAACCCCAAGCCCACCCCACTGGGCTCAGCCCTGCTGCTGTCTCACTGGACTCGGAGCCCAGCTCTGACCTCAGATGAGCTAGCTGCTGCGCCCAGGCCCCTGTCTTCTGTCGAGTCTCCTGTACCATGAGCGCTCTGTCTCCCTGAGCAGCATCCGTTTCCATTCCATCCGAGCTTGGAAAGGAGCTGACTTCGAATGCCACAGAGTGACATCTCTGCTCTGTCCCTCCTGGGTCACCTCTCAGAGCCTGATAAAGGGTCTTATTCTAACCTGGGTCCCAGAGTGAGGACAGAAAAGAAAGTCAGAGAAAGATAGAAATAAGGAAGTCTTAAAAGTAATAGAAGTTTGAAAAATGCCTAATAGAATTTGTGTGGATGTGTTTTTAGTCTTCTGTGGGTTTTTGATTTTTGGGTTTTGCCCATCATGGGGCTCTTAGGAAAAATCTAGTTATGGTTTTCAAGCAGAAGCACTATTGTAATGAAGAATGAGAGCCAAAAGAGGACTTCATAGAAAATGTGCTTCTGACCCCCTCAATTCACATATGAGGAAAGAGTAGGCTTGGAAAGGTAGCGGAACTGCCCAGGGCCACTTCTGTGCAGTCATAGGAGAGCCGGAACTAGAGCCACGTCTCCCACCTCCTGGCCCCATGCTGTTCTCATCCGTGCTTACTCGTTGCTGTCTTCCGGGCTAGAAGGGATTGAGTGCCCCAAGAAGTCATCCTGGAACAAAAGGCATAGTGTTCTTCATTTTCTTTTTGCCTGCAGTCAAGCCGGGCAATGTAAGGAACATCATTCAGCACTTTGAGAACAGCCAGCAGTATGATGCCCCAGAACCGGGGACACAGCGACTCTCCACCGGAAGCTTTCCTGAGGACCTGCTGGAGAGTGACAGGTAGCAGTGGCTGGATGGACTTGCCAGCCGCCCCAGGTGCAGAGCTCGGACAGGGTTTGGCGCTGAAGTTTCATTCTAGCTGCCTGGCCCCTCCCCACTGGACTGTAAGGTCCCCCAGTGGAACTTTCTCCCCACCCAGAGAGCCGCAGACCACACACCAATGTTGGTTATAGGCAAGTGGAGGAGCAAGCAGAGAAGCAGAGCCCGACCAGGAACCGCATGCTTTAAAGCTGTCCTTCAGACCCACCTCCTCCATCCCAAGACTAAGCGAGTGATACTGTGTGGCAGATAATCAGGAAACCCTAAATGACAAGGAGAAAGAAAATCTCTGCCTGCCAGTGAAAAAGAGCTGGAGTGGAGGTCCTGCTAGACTCACTAAGGACACATGGTATAAATGGGCACCAGGGGTCCACTTCAGCACAGGGACGCAGGTTGATTGGTTCAAAATACACTGCTCTTCCCTTTCCAAGCAAAAAAGGGGGAGTTGAGACTGGCATCTGTCATGTCCGTATCTCCACCAGGTTCTGGCTGGAGCTCTTCTCAGGTGCTCTACGGCTTACTTGCTCTTGAGTGTGGCTTAACAGTCAGGTCATGCTAACCCTTAAAGATTGCCTATGTCGGAATACCCGTGCAGGTTCCTCAGGTCACCCTGGGGGTACAGTACTGTAGCCACGTATACAGGAAAATAATTCTGTGTACAGAAACAAGTCAGAGCCACGGAGCTGGAGTAGGGGCGGGCGCAGCGGCAGTCCCTAGGTAACAGTGTGAGCATTCCAGCCATTTGCCTTTAAATAACTAATTATCAAATTGTAGGTCAAACATTCCTGCTGGAGTGCAAGGTTCTTCCTTTGTATTAAGCCTTTATAAACTTAGCACATGTTAAGATTGTGCTATAAGGAGAACTGATAATGATTGGATTTGCACTGTGCGAGGAGGCAGAGTCCTGAGATCAGTGGGTAAAGACACGAGTAACGTGCAGTGGTCATGGTCACTTAGCCGTGTCAGATATTTGAAGAAGACGTTGTTGATACTTTGACGTTTGAGACCTTTTACGGATTTGCACTCTTGGCCTGGCCGGGTAAATTTGCCCTAGCTAGTGAGGTTTCCCAGGTCCCAAAGCTATTCTCAGCAGAAGTGTTTAGAGTCGATGCTTGAAAACTCAGTGACAATCCTGGGGGAACAGTGTTAGCAGTGAGGCAGGTCAGAAGTTGTGGAGCTCAACAGGTGTAAAGCGCCCTAGTTCCAGAAGGCAGTACCCTCAGAACTTAGTCCAGAGGTGGACTGCCGTGTTTCTTGGGAGCGTTACTCACTTCTCACCTCTGCAGCCTAGGAACCCTCCAGGGGAGGCTGTGGTGCTGACCTGACCCACTAAGGGACTGGTGAAAGTGTTCTAAGGTTTCTGAGGGGGAGTTGAGTAGGGGACCGCTTGGCAGACAAGCTCAGTCCCCAGGAGATGAGGCAGTTTGGAGAGATGATGAGTGGAGACCGAGGCCCTTGCCTCCCGCCTCCAGCATCGTGCTGTGCTATTAAGAGCTCTCCAGACATCTCCAGGCCTTCTGTGGTCTCAGAACAGAGCAGGATGTAGATTAGTAATAATGTCAGCCAAGGAACAGCCCTGCAGGGCCACAGCAGGGGGATGGTGGCACCATCCAGGGCAACTAGAGGTCACCGATGCCAGCTGTCTCCGGGCTGGTGCACTGCAGGACTCTGCAGGACCGAGAGCGACACCCACTTGGCAGCGTCTCCTCGAGTCCTGGAAACATTGGGGAGCCACGCACAGCGGGCAGGGATGGGCTCCTGCCTCTCCAGGGCCAGGCTTTCCCCAGCCTGTCTGCTCGCTGGGAGCGAACGGAAGCTTGGGAAGGGTGCTGTTAGGATAAGGATGGGAAAAATCCTCATCACAGCTGGGCCAAAATCCAGCAAGAGATAGCATGTTCTAACAGGCAGTGTGGGGGATCCTAGACTTAGTATGTGCAGATGGTGACTCTGCTCCCCTGTAAAGATCTTGTCAGGAAAGGACTCACCGAAAGCAGTCAGAACGATGGCAGTGCAAAGCAGAGGCAGGTGACTGCCACTGGACAGCCCCAGGGCCGGGAGGTGAGATGTCCCTGACGAGGGACTGTGATGCCACAAGTCTGGTTCCCTTGGCCCCCAGTTCGGCCTTCCCGTTGTAACCCTTTCTCAGGCCAGAATGAGGAGAGACTGGCCATCGAGACAAGGAGGTGTTTAGGGCAGCGAGCATGGTTGTCACTGAGCAGCTTCTGCCCGGGTATTTGGGGCCGCACAGGGTGGGTGGAGCAGAGCCTGCGCCGTCCAGGCGCCCTTGAAGTGGGGCGGCAGTTGGAGGCTGAGCGGGATTTTCCTGGCCTCCCCCAGCTCTCGCTCGGAGATCCGCCTGGGCCGCTCCGAGAGCCTCAAGGGCCGGGAGGAGATGAAGCGGTCTCGGAAGGTGGAGAACGTGCCCCGCTCTCGCAGTGATGTGGACATGGATGCTGCTGCCGAGGCCACGCGCCTCCACCAGTCAGCCTCGTCGTCCACCTCCAGCCTCTCCACCAGGTGGGCAAGCGAGGCTGCTCCGCCCAGGGCACTCGGGCCAGGCTGGGACCCGGGTCCTGAGAGTCAGCACTTCTTCCCTCCGCAGGTCTCTGGAGAACCCAACCCCTCCCTTCACCCCCAAGATGGGCCGCAGGTGAGTGGTGAGCCTGGTGACTCACCTCTGCGTCTCCTTTTTGGGGATCAGGTTGGCAGGAGAAGGACGGGCCAACCTGAGTAGGAGTGAAGCTGAGCTGCCTGTCTATCCCCAGGAGCATCGAGTCCCCCAGCCTGGGCTTCTGCACAGATGCCCTCCTTCCCCACCTCCTAGAGGATGATCTGGGCCAGCTCTCTGATTTGGAGCCAGAGCCAGATGCCCAAAACTGGCAGCACACCGTGGGCAAGGATGTGGTGGCCGGGCTGAGCCAGAGGGAGATTGATCGGCAGGAGGTCATCAACGGTGAGAACAGGCCCGCCACCCTGCTTGCACTTCTGTGGGGAGGGGTCCGGGGCACCAGGACACAAAGCAGGAGGTGAATAGGGTAGGGCCGGGCAGGGGGCCGAGGTGCACAGCAGTTTCGGCCTTAAGGCAAGAGAAAAATAGCTGTGTGATCTGAAACCAGCACTCCAGTTCCCCCCAACCCGAGGGTGGTATGGGAACCAGATTGTGACTCCAGATTCTTACTGACCTGTTTTCTTTCTGCCTCTCAGAGCTGTTCGTGACTGAAGCATCCCACCTGCGGACACTTCGGGTCCTGGACCTCATCTTCTACCAGCGAATGAAGAAGGAGAACCTGATGCCCCGGGAGGAGCTGGCCCGGCTCTTCCCCAACCTGCCCGAGCTCATAGAGATTCACAGTGAGCAGCCCCAGCCCCTCCCAACCTGCCCGCCAGCGGCTTTCCATTCTGCGGGTTCCCCTGCCCTCCCCCTGACCAGATAGCCGCACTGGACATGAGAGGAAACTCAGTGACAACGTCATAGGAGCTCCCCAGGTCCCCCCAAAGTAAAACAGTTTCCAGACCATCCCCCTTGGGACTTCTGTCAGCGATCCTTTCTTTTCCAGTCACCAAGGGTGTCCCCGGGCATTTGTTTCTCCTCTCTTCGTCCCAGATTCCTGGTGTGAAGCCATGAAGAAGCTCCGGGAGGAGGGCCCCATCATCAAGGAGATCAGTGACCTCATGCTGGCTCGAGTATGGCTCGACCTTCCCCGCATGGCTGGGTGGAGATGGGATTAGCAGGGGTGGGAGTGACCAGGGGCTGGACCCTGGTGGCAGCTGTGATGCCCGGGCTGTGTCCACTCTGCCTTTTCAGTTTGATGGCCCTGCCCGAGAGGAACTCCAGCAAGTGGCTGCGCAGTTCTGTTCCTATCAGTCAATAGCCCTAGAGCTGATCAAGACCAAGCAGCGCAAGGAGAGCCGCTTTCAGCTGTTCATGCAGGTATGTCCCAAGCCGGGCCTCAGTCCCTCCTCCCCAGCAAGTTCGCCAACAATCTCCTGACTCCCTTCCTGGCCCCAGCCTCCCCTCTGGCTGTGGAGGACACTCAGCAGCGTCCTCACCCCACGTGCCCCTCTGGTGTGACACACGGCACCCTCTAGAGCTAGATCACCTTGGTTGAAAAGGACATTGGATTAGCAGCCAGAGGGCCTGGCTCACCCACCAGAGCAGTCTACATGCGGCTGAGTCTCAGTCCCTCATCTGTAAAATGGGGACGAGACCTGCCCCATCTCTTTGAGCCCTGTCGCTTCCTCGGGCTGACGTCACCCTGCCAGCGCACCGCCATTATGGAGTGACCATCTGGTGTTGGGCCCATGTGCCACTAAGCCAGCCCAGCCACAGTTGCAGTTGTTCTGTGTCCAGGAGGCCGAGAGCCACCCTCAATGCCGACGGCTGCAGCTCCGAGACCTCATCATCTCTGAGATGCAGCGGCTCACCAAGTACCCACTGCTGCTGGAGAACATCATCAGACACACCCAGGGTAAGCATGGGGGCCGGGGCACAAGCCCTCGCCTGGCAATGCCTTGCAGCCTTAGCAAGCATGGGACCTTGTGGTCCTCAGTGCCTTCATCCTTGTCTTGTTTGACGTCTCCAAGAAAATGTTCATAAATGTGCTTCAGAAAATGCAAGGAGCTCAGCAGTGGAAAGCGTGAGGACCCCCACTGGCCGGAGTGGCCTCCATACAGATCACAGGCTGCCCTTGAGGGCGCCTTGGTTCTTCCCAAACCATCCATCTGGTCGCCGTGTCACACCGGGGCCCATGCTGGTGGCTTCAGCCCCTTCGTCCCCCTGCTGAATGCCTCTGCAGTGCACAGACAGCTGCGTGTGCTGACACTGAAGCACAAGGGACAGGCCGAGATGGGGATCTGACCCCTGGCTGTCACTCTTCTGTGAATTTTGCACAATGGAGTCAGGATAGAGGTGTTGAGAACCTCTGCCTGGTTTGAACAGGTTTTCCTAGAGGCATCTTCCTCGTTACCAGCAGCAGGGCTGGCTCTGGTCCAGGCAGGAATTCTCAAAGCCATCAGTGTCTGAAACCTAGGGATGCTTGGTAAAAGGGAACTGCCGCCTCGGTCCTCTGGAGAGGCGGGCACCTGCACGCGGGCTGTGAGGAAGCAGTGACTGATGGAGGCACGGCTGTGGTGGAGCGAGCCCTGAGCGCTGCCACGTCCTGTCTGTTAGCTGGCACTGCAGAACATGAGAAGCTGTGCCGAGCCCGAGACCAGTGCCGGGAGATCCTCAAGTTCGTGAACGAAGCAGTGAAGCAGACTGAGAACTGCCACCGGCTGGAGGGTTACCAGAGACGCCTGGACGCCACCGCCCTGGACAGGGCCAGCAACCCGCTGGCAGCAGAGTTCAAGGTAGGGGCAGAACCCGCGGCCCAGACAGCCTCACGCGCTTCCTAGGTGTCCTCAGGGCAAAACTCAAGTCAGGGCCTGGAGAGTCTCAGGCAGGGCCGGCTGTGATGGGTGACAGTGGGGCCCTGGGAGACACGCCCCGTTGTCATCAACAGCATCCTTGGATGGACAGGGCAGACACCTCTCCAAGTGAAGGCAGGTGGATGCCAGAGAGCAGAGCGTGGGTAGAAGTTAAGGCAGAGGGGCGATCGTTTGGGCAGGGGCAGAGATGGAGGGAGGAGGGCAGAAGGAGAGTGCCCTCTTGGGGAGACAGAGGGCATGTGGTAGAAGCTGGGAGGGAGACCCGGGCCAGAGCCATGGCCTGGCGCACTGCACACGGCTTCATAGTTGCCTTTTTACTGTGGGAGCATAAGGGAAGAGACTGTTTTCTCCTCACTGCTGATCCCCGGCGCACACGCAGTAGGTCCTCAGACGCCCGAGTGAACGAGTGGCGGTGTCTCCTTACAGAGCCTGGATCTTACAAGCAGGAAGATGATCCACGAGGGGCCCCTGACCTGGAGGATCAGCAAGGATAAGACCTTGGGTATGTGCAGGGCAGGTCCGGAGGCATCTGTGGCAGGCCGTCGCTCTCCGTGGCATAAGCCCTACAGGGATGTTGAGGTCGCCAGAGGGCACTAGAATGAGACTGGGATGGTAGCTCGGGAGCCCTTAAGCACGAGAGAAAGGACTTGGGATCCCTAGACTCCCAGGGCCGCCACACCCGGGTGACAGGCATCCAGGAGCCCTAGGGTCCCTGGTGCGGATGAAGAACAAGTGTGCAGCAGGGTCCACCTCGCCCCCAGACCTCCACGTGCTGCTGCTGGAGGACCTGCTGGTGTTGCTGCAGAGACAGGACGAGCGGCTGCTGCTGAAGTGCCACAGCAAGACAGCTATGGGCTCCGCAGACAGCAAGCAGACCTTCAGCCCTGTGCTCAAGCTCAACGCCGTGCTCGTCCGCTCTGTGGCCACAGGTACCTGCGAGGAGATGTCCGCAGCCTGGGCCCTGTGCCCAGTTAGCACTGACGCGAAGCCCGCCGGGGCCCTTGCAGGACCTCCTTGTCTGCTCTGTCCCTTCCCGTGACCCAGCCTACCAGGAGAATGTGGTGGACATGGGTAGTGTGGGACAGGGTGGGGACCAGGGCGAAGACGGATCAGGTAGAGTGGGGTGGTCAGTCCTCAGGGGCAGTGCTGGACGGGGCAGTGAGGATGCCCGAGCGGGTTGGGAAGAATGGGACAGGGCAGGAAGAGGAAGACAAGCCTTCCTCCTGCCCCAGTGCCCTGGGCAGAGTGGAGCCCACAGCCCTGAGCCAAGCCCAGCAGCCAGCGGTGAGCAGGGTGGGGTGTGGTGGACGGCCTGGGGCCTCCCTCCCTCTTCATCTAACCCAATGCTGCTGCCCACCCCTAGGTGGCGTCGAGGGACAGTGGGAATGGGGAGCTTTACACACCCAAGCACGGGGCACGCAGCCCTCCCTTAGAGAGGAGGGCAGAGGGACCGCTGTGACAAGGACATTAGGTGCAGACTGCCTGTCTCTTTGTAGCGGGGCCCCAGTGCTCTGATGACCCTTACCGGTCTCCGTCCATGGTAAACTTCAGCCTTCAGGTCTGCCCTCAGTCGCTCGGGCTGGGCCTCTGGCACCCCTGTCACCTTGTGCTGACTTCCCCTTTCCTTCCTCACACAGATAAACGGGCCTTCTTCATCATCTGCACCTCTGAGCTGGGCCCTCCCCAGATCTACGAGCTGGTCGCACTGACGTCCTCAGAGAAGAACATGTGAGAATTGATTGAGGGCTCCTGCGGGCCCACCGTCCCTCTGGGACCTGGGTGGTGTGTATGCAGGTGGCAGGCATGGGGCCAAGGCTGTCCCGAGCCATCCCTCACCGGGAGCTGAGGAGGAGGTGGGGGCAGGACAGGCACAGAGAAGCCCGAGGGCCGTCACCCCACCCTTAGCCAGGCCCTGCTCCCTCCCGGGCCTCCTCCCCACCTGCACCGCCCGCCCGCGTCATGTGCCCCACGGGCAGCCCCCAGAGGCAGCATGGCATGGCGGAAGGAGACAGGGAGAGTCGGGCAGTTTCTCCCCCCAGAGTCCTGCAGGATGTGAGTGATGCTCCCTCGGTCATTTAAAAGAGGGACACACAGAGTGCTTAGCACAGGGCTTAACAGAGGGCCGGCGTCCTGTAATTGGTGGCTGCAAGTCATATAAACCCAAGGGAGCAGCCGTTGGGAACCAAGGGAGGTGGGTGACTGCCAGGCAGACGGTCTCTGGGCGCAGCTGGGGGCTCAAAGCTTTGGAGCAGGGGGTCTGCATGGGACAAGCTGGACGCCTCGCCCTGTCCTCACCACAGTCCTCTCTGTTCCTGCTGAGCCACAGATGGATGGAGCTCCTCGAAGAGGCTGTGCGCAATGCCACCAGGCACCCCGGAGCTGCCCTGGCGCCTGTTCTTCCCCGGCCTCCAGGCCCCCAGGAGCCAGCTCACCAGGGCCCTGCCCCCAGCAGGTGCAGTGCTGAGCCCTCAGGCCCCATGCCACCCCCACTCTGAGCTGCCTGCTTCCTGCTGCTCTCCAGCCCCTGGCCCCTGGGGTGGGCAGGCTGGGCAGGGAGATGCTGTCTGGGAAACAGCCCTAGCGCTGGCAGATGGAGAACAGGGTTGCTCTCTACTCTTCGTCCCCACCCCCCATGGCCTCCCACCTGGCTACTGTCATGGAGATTACGCTAGAAGTAGAGCTGGGTGCAGAATGAGGGACCAGAGAGGCTGAGCAGCACCCACGCTCTGTCCCAACCAGACAGGTGAAGAGGCCCAGCCCTCCGTTCTTGGAAACTGCCTTTTCATTACCTTGCTTGTTCTGAGTCCACAGTGGCGCTTTGTGACACCAGAATTGCCAGCAGCTGCCTCCTCTCACCCACAGTGGGTTTCTTCCCGCAGGACAGGCCTGGATGACCCGGAAGTGTTCCACAGTGAAGCAGAGCCTGAGGAGCTGCCTGGAGGTACGGCCCACCCGCTCTGTTCTCCGTGGCCACAGGTCGGGTGGGGATGCAGGGCGACAGGGAGTCCATCAGGGCCTGAGGGGGAGGTTCTGATGAAATGAGCAGGCAAGAAAGTGCAGGAAGAGCCTCAAAGTGTGAGGACAGACTGACGGACAGGCCCTCTGCCTCCCACGGTGATGGAGATCCGTGCAGGAAGCTGCTGGGCTCAGGGCCCCATGCCTTTCCCCCAGGGGTCCGGCTCCGCTGGAGGTGAGGCTCGAGGGGAACAGGAGTCACAGGGGTTCTGGGCAGTCGTGAGGCGGGTGAAGTGAGCGTTCTCAGGGTTCTCATTGGAGTCTTTATGTTAGAGAGTTAGAAGGTTTGGAGGGAGATCTTGGTCTCCTTGGCTGGGTCCCTCTTCTGTGTCCTTTGGTGTCCTTTGTAGTGTGCTTTTCCAACAAACTCCTACACCTCCTTGCAGTCCCATTCTGAGTCCTCTCTGACCCAGGGATGCAGCTCAGGGACACCGCACCTGCCTTGCAAGCACAGGGTCCTGAGTTCAATCCCTGGTACCAGAAAGAAGAAAGAAAA